CAATACAAAAGACAGCTTTCTTTATTGGTGCTTTGCAAAAAATGTGGGACTCATTTGAGTGGATTTGGAGCCTTTGAGCCGTGGGAACATTACATGACAAAATGTTTTGTTCATATCAACATTTTTTTAAGTTGTGCTTTTCATGTCATAAAAGAAATATAAAAAATGTCATGTGGACAGAATTAATGGTTCAAATTGACGAAAGGACCAACGTTATGCATTTCTTAGAGTTGAGGAATCAAAAAAGTGCAAAAATTTGTTAAGGGACCAAAAAAGTGCAACTCTATAAAGTTGAGAGACTAAATTTAGCATTTAACCAATTCAAAAATCAAAATCTTGTCCTCATTCGGTGCCCCGAAAACAAAGCCTAGTCTTTATTAAGCTTCCATATAATTTCCTTGACCCTGATGAAATCTGGGATGCCGTCCCACTTTTAATGCCATAATGTGCTGTCTTATTGCCTTCTTTAGTTGTCATTCCTTTCTTGACTTAATGACTTTACCTAAACTAAATGCCTCTAAAATCTATTAACTATACATAGGGTGCTCACATCCAATCAAATCCAATTGATCTTATTTAAATTGAATTAAATCGATATAAAATTGAGTTGGTTTGGATTATAAAATTTTAAAACCGATATAATTAGTTTGGTTTGTAATTTTACCTCCAAATTGCTTGAACCACCCGATTACAAAATAAAATCTAATTACACAATAATTTAATTAAATAATGTAGTATATTTTTTTGTAATATTTTAAATTTTTTTCTTATTTTATAAGATAATAACTTCATTAACTTAAAAATAGAATATCTCTATATTCTCTAATTTATTTTCCTTTCTAAATCGTGCACTTTAACTTTAATTTTAAATTTTCAATTCACTTATAACTCTATTTCTTATAACTAGTTTATGACTCTATTTTGAGAACTCTAAAATTTTAATTTGTTCTTAAAATAATATTCTGATTCTCTTAATTAAATTTTAAGAAATATCATTCTAAAAGTTTTAAAATTATATAATAGAACTAAATTTGATATTCTACTATTTTTGGATATTTGGTTAATAAGTTTTAAATTTTAATTATGAATGCTTCTAATCATTCCTAATAACATTTATGTTAAATTTTAATTGCTTTTAACAAGGTTTGAAAGATAGGATTAAATCATTTGCTGCATTAAGGAAAAAAATTAGTTATAATCTTTAAAAATTACTTGTACTGTATTTAAAATTTAAAATTATCTTTTATTATTCTTGATGCCTCTAGTGATGTAGTCAACAAAAATTTCCAAATTTTTTCAATTTTTATAATTGTAAATGAGTATAAAAACTTGTTTATAATTTTTGTATTTTATTATGTTTCTAGTAATTTAGATGTTAATGTATTTTATAGTTATATTTTCTATTTAATGTTAAAACTTTTTATATTATCTCATATATTTAATACTGTTAAAAGCCAATTAATCGGACTAAACCACACTGTTCCGATTTAAATTAGATTGGTTTGGTTATCATATAATAATGGATTGGATTTGATTGGTTTAAAAATTTTATTAACTGATTAAATTGAATTGATTTAAAAAATATTAATATCCGAACCAAACCACATGACGAACACCTCTAACTATACATATATATCTATAGTAATACAGTAATATAGAGATAATATTTTTATATAATTTTATAATATAATTTTTACATATTATTAAATTTGTAAAAATACTTAATATTATAAATCTTAAATAAATAAATAAACAATCAATTAAATTGTACATAAAATTATACCAAAAAATAATACAAAAATATTATTTTTGAATCATTGTTTAGAAAAAAAAAAAATCTCTAAAATCTCATCACCGCAGCTATTTAACCCTTTTTAGTTTCTACTGTCCCCCAGTTTTGATTCCTTCATAATTCACTCAGTTGCTTTTTTCTATCATATAAATTCATCGAAATTTTTATGCTCTTTAGTTCGATCGGATTCAAGCATTCTAGAGATGACGAAGATTAATTATTCAGCAGCAGCTATACTCCTTCTGTTCCTTTTCTTGTTCGCATTTTTTATGGCGATTCAAATCAATCTGGCATCCTTATCAATGCTAAATATTGTTACTGATTTGACGAGAGATAAAGGTATGCTTTCCTCGTTTGTCAACCTTCACTCAATTTATGTGATTCGCTACATATTTCCTATGTCCTTTTGTGTTTTCTTCTGTCGGAATTTTTCAATTAATTTTTTGTTACAGTCTTGGCGTTTATTTTTGAAGTTTCAAAATTTTGATATAAATTATGCAAGAAGCTGGAAGAAAATTAAGGCCCAATTTTAGTATAGTATAATTGTTATTTTTTATTTTTATTTTTAGTTTTTAAAAATTTTAAAATTTTAGAATAAAATTAATAATTGTTATAAATTTATAAATTTTATAAATTAACTAACATTAGTTCTAAAAATTTGTACTCCGATAAGTTAGTATTCTTATTTTTAATTAATTTTAATTGGTTAAAATCTTTATTTGGTTTTTCTACTTTAGCAAAAAATCTTTATTTGGTCCATCTACTTAAAAGTATCCTTTTTTGGTCCCTAAAATTTGAAATTTGGACCCTTTTTAATCCCTCCATTAAATTTTGACATTGATAAAAATTTCAAAAGAAATGAATAAAAAAGGATTTTTTTTCTAAAGTAGAGGGACCAAATTGAGGTTTTTTTAACTCCTTTTTAATCTATCTACTTTGAAATTTTCTTTATTTATCGTGTCAAATGTACAAAACTTAGTAAAAGAACTAAAAAAGAGTTAGATTTCAAATTTTATGAACCAAAAAATGGCATTTTTAAGTAGAAGGACTAAAAAGGTGCTTTTTACCAAAGTAGAAGGACCAAAATGGGGATTTAACTATTTTAATTTTTAATTGTTAATTTTGATTGTTTAAATTTTAAAACCAAAAATTGCAATCATAATAAATAGAACCTAAATCTCTTCATGTTATTTCAGCAAAACATTATTTTTGATATATTTTGTTTGTGTCTTCCTTCGTTTCTACAAAAATTGTATATTTCTAATATTATGTAGCTCTTTCGAGCGAAGTCACTTGCTCCCTCAGCTATGGTTCACTATAATATAAATAAATAGATTAAATGACAATAACTATCTATTTTACCAAATAGCATATGTTATATTCTTTTTAAGTGTTGGTTTAAATTCCTTTATTCTTAATTTAAAATGAGAAAAAGACAAATAAGTATAAACAGTATTCTTGTGTTTAGTTATTATTATTGTCATTTCTATTCTTTTTACGGTCAAATACGTACATTTCAAAAGTTAAAATAAAAAATAGACTAAGCCTTTTTGTTTGGAATTGTTGTCCATGGCTATAATTAAGTGAAAAAGTGCTAACAAGGTAATTTTAGAAAATATATATATATTAAGATTAAAAGATTATGAAATTATGAAAGGGTGTTTAAGATTTGTATTAAAAATATATATTTGTAAATATAGAAAATTATTGTGGCAACTTATCAAGAAAAAAAAAAAAAAAAAAAAA